AGATATTTGTAAAATTTTTTTTTTTTTTTTTTTTTTTTTTTTGGTACCAGGGATGGAACTTGGGACCTTGTGCCTGCAAAGCAGGTGGCAGAACCACTGAGCTAAATCCCCAGCCTGAAAACTAGTATTTTTAATTAAATATGCTTCACTTAGAAGAATTTGTTAAAGCAATTTTTCTAGTGAATATTTTATGATTATATGAAGTTAATATGTATTGGTTGTACCTTTAACTAGTTTTCCCCAAATTATCCTAGATTTTATCAGACAATTAATATACAAGCCAAGAGTAGCGGCACAGGCCTGTAATCTCAGCATTCTAGGAAGCTCAAGCAGGAGAATCAAGAACTTTAGTTTTGAGATATATTCCTGATAGTATTTCTAGTAACCCAACATGCCTCGCAGAAAGTATCTAACAAACATTTGCTGATTTGCTGAAGTGTACTGACTAAAGAGGGATGACTTTTAAAAGGAATTAAAATTATTTAACGTTTATATTTATGATGCTTAGAAAGTTTACAATGAACTTATCTCTGAAAACTAAAAGAAGGACATAAAGCACCAATTCTTCCATTAACTATATCCTTAGAAGAGTAAATACATTTACGCATATGCATATTCTAATATTCATCCTAAAACAATTTGATTATATATTATCTGTCATTTACTTACTCTAAGAACCCTGCACTTTTTCACAGCATGAACTGGAGAATCAATTTCACTACTTTTCTGATCCTAAAATGAATAAATAAATCAACAAAAACATTAAGTAAAAGGCAATACAAAGTCCTCAAGCAAAAAAATGGCTTTTATATGATTACATTATTATAATGACTGAATGACTCACCTCAGGAGATTTTAAAACATTTTCCTTTCGCTTTTTATGTTTTCTTAGAAAAACCTCCTCATCTTCACTTTCACAATTTATCCATAATTGTTCACCTATAATATAAAAAATAAATCTGATCAACAGAAGAAAAAATGTAATTTTATTAGCTCATGATTCTAGAATTCACTCTAAATTTTAGTCTTCCCACCCCTTTGCCTTTATTACCTTCAGGCTGAAGGAATTAAAGTAATGAATACGCATGCTATAAAACAATATACTAAAAGATTTTCATTTTTGTGTGTACATATGTGTGCTTGCATAGAAGCATAAAAACTGATAAGATATTCACCAAAATGTAACTAGAATTAACTATTTAGGGAAGAGGGAGAAGGTTAAAACAAAATCTTCAAGTTGGAGGTACAGCTCAGTAGTACAGCACATGCTCGGCAAGCATGAGGCCCTGGGTTCAATTCCCAGAACAACAACAAAAATTCCTCACATATGAAAGAAAGCAAATACTTCACATTTTTAAAGTACTTAACCAAAGTTCTATTTCTGTACTTTCATAAAATTTTCATTCAAAGTGCTTTTTTATATTTTTGCAAAATCCTCTATTAAGAGTATTAGAGGCCCTGTGGTAGTTTTAAGTTTTTACACCAATTCTTTGATAATCCTCCCTTCAAGTAGATTATAATGCCTTTCTGCTTAAGTGCAGGCCAGACTTAGTGAATTTTTTCTAACAAAAGAATATAATGGAAGCGGAGGTGTGTCATTTATAAACCTAAGTCACAAAGGCACTGTGGCTCACATTTGCTCTTTCTCTTGTATTAATTATACTGGGAGAGGCCAGATGCTATGTTTTTCCTCTGTGTTACCTGGGCAGGTCTAGAACTCCTGGGTTCAAGCAATCCTTGCACCTCAGCCTTCCAAGTAGGCAAGACTACAGGTCTGAGTCACTGTCCCCAGCTACCACATGCTACGCTTCAAGGATATAATCAAGCAACCCAATGGAGAAGTCCACATATCAAGAAACTGAAGCCTCCTGCCAACCATCTACAAATAAACCACCTTAAAAGCAGATCTACTCAGTGTGTTTCAACTGTAGCCAGAGCCACTCACAGCTAAGCCACAAATGAATTCTTGACTCACAGAAACCTTGAAAAATTAAATGTTTTTGCTGTAACTCATTAAGTTTTGGGAGAGGTTAGTTGCAGTATATAACAATTAAATAATATAGGTTTTGGTACCTAGAAATTGGCAGTAGTCATGACAAAAACTAAACTATAAAAGTAGGTTCAGAACTAGATAGGGGGTAGAAAATGAGAGGACTTCTGAGGGTTTCTGGGAAGGCCTCGAGAGCTTCAAACACTGTAGGAAGGAGCCGGGGATTTAGCTCAGTTGTTCCATTGCCTGCCTCATAAGCACAAGGTCCAAGGTTTGATCCGGTACCAAAAAAAAAAAAAAAACTATAGGAAGCTTAATGCCCACTGAGGAGGCTACAGGTGAGAGCTTAAAATGAAAACCTTATTGGAAGCTGAAGAAAGGAAATCCTGTAGAAGTAGTGTCAAAAAGTTTAACAACATTGCACTTAACAATTCACCTAATTCACCTAATGAGTGAGGTGACCTAGCCAAGGACAAACTGTCTAAGGTATCATCTGTTTCTTCTTGCTGTTATAGTAAAAGAAAAGAATACTGAATATAAAACAGTTAGAAATTGATGGTTTTGAAAATTCTCAGCCTCTTCAGGTGTCAAGCAATATAAAAATTAAGATATCGTCTATGTAAAGATCAAATCCAGAAGACTGCCAAGAAAATATTATGAAGCTTGAGGATATAACTAAAAATGCTGTTAAAACCTCAGAAAGATCAAAGGTGAAACCTCAGAGTACCATTCAGTCAGACAAAAGGCCCTTAAGTATTTTAATTATGATTCTCAAAGATCCTCTCCAGATATCTTCAAGAATTATCTCCAAACGTCTCAGCAAAAGCCCGAAGCAGAGAAGGGCTTTTTTCCCAAAGATTTGTGGGTATGAACAGTGTCTAATGGAATAAAGTTTCTAAGAAGATTCTTGAGAAATTCATAAACACTTACCAGAATTATAACACTGGAAGAAATGCAGCCAACTACAAACGAAAGGAACAGATAGTATAAATTGGAAAGAAGACTTTGGACCTCCAAACATGTACGAAAAGGAAGCAGGCTCAGGAAACTCATAAAAGGTACTTGTTATGGGAAAAGACCAAGCATCCAAAGGAAGAAAGGTGGAGGTAAGGATCATGGAAAACATCCCCAGGCTTTGAGCCCTAATGAAGGAACTACTAACTACAAGGAGAAATGCTACATAATCTTGGGGGAAAATCACTTCACAATTAAACTATGATTAGGCCTACTTTTCCTGTCCACAGGCCGGCTACTGCATGTCAAGACTTAAATCCATTTTTGCCTCCTGTCACAGCTAAAACCTCAATAGTTCCATGATGCTGTGATGTTCCAGGGCAGGATTACATCAGCTGAGTACATTTTGGTTCCTTGAGAACCTAGTAGTAAAAGAAAAGTTTCACCTGGGGAGGGACAAATTCCTAATCAACATAAATTCCTCACTGTCCTAGGATACTGCCACCCTCTGAGTCATCTGTTATTCCCATGTACCAAATAAAGATGTCAGGTACCTTTGTCTTTGCTGCCCAGAGCAGCATCGATAGGCCCAAAGCTCATCTTCTCTAAGTCTCATTTCCTTTCTTTATTAATTAATTCACCTTGTGCTGTCCTGGCTCACAGGAGACCAGGACTCACTGCAGGGGTTCTGGTAACATCCCCTTTCCCTGATCCCTACAACTAACCTCAGCTCCACTGGATTTGAGAATCATTAAGAATTAGGGCTTACTCCAAAATAACTTGAATTGGGGAAGGTGAAAACTTTTTGAACCCCTCTTTTCCCAGTCATTAAAACTAGAGCATGAACTGGATTGTCTGGTAGATCTTTTTATTCCAAAAAACTCTTAAGGTCTCTTACAAAAAAGTTTGAACTGCTGCTTTTCAGGCAAGAACAGCATGATGATAAAGCAGCAAAATAATCCCCATGACTGAAGAATCTGCCATATCAGTTTCACAATATGCTGAATTGCATATTTAAAATTATTATAAAAATGTCTTTTGTAATTTTATTCTTTCAAGGGTTGCAGGTTAATTATGTGGTGACTCAAATTACATATAAAGTTAAACTCCCTTACATTTTAGAGTAGGTCAGTGACTTTCTGGAAGGTCCTAGGAGAGAAGCTTGGTGGCGATGCAAGACTCTTTAGAAAATACACACCACAGACTCATGACAATATCATTATTAAAATGTCACTACCTAAAAAAAAAAAAAAAAAAAGCCCACTTCCAAAGACTGACTTTTAGGCCGTAATTTAAATGTCTTACTTGAAACCAAAACATACAAATTTTTTTCTCTTGTGATTTAGATCAGATGCAAAAACAATCAAGAGTTTGAAGGAAATGATCTAGAACTTTGGTATGCATTCATGTATGATGTAATGCTACGAATACTTTTCTTCATCTCTTATATGTAATGAAAAAATGTTTAGTGCAAACCCAAATGATAATCACAGCACTAAATCTACCACTGTTCGCTCATTTATAAAATGTGAGTTGTTACCACAGCAATTTTTGTTAGAGCAACTTCTGTGAGAGTTCTGATGATGTCTGTAAAACACTCAGTGGCTGGCTCATCATAAGAGTTTAGTAAAATACTTTTTATTACTCTTTTAAAAAAAAAGAACTAGGGCTTTCTGAGCACCTTCTATCGCTTTCCCACTCTTTTAAATTCTCCAAATCAAACCAACCCTTCCACAATTCTAGCTGAAATCCCAATTATAACCACATGAGAAATCCAAAGCCAGAACCACCCAGCTATGCAGCTCTTCAATTTTGATCTATAAGAAACTGAGGTAAATGCTATTTTAAGCCATTGAGTTTTGAGGTACTTTGTTCCACAGCACTAGATAATACATCTATCCAGACAGACAAACTGCAATGATTCCTTTTTTGTACATGATTCAACTAGTTTTTCTTTTTTCATTACTTTGTAAAAAGCCAAATTTAGTGAGGGCAGGGGAAATGGTAAAAAATAAGAACCAAGATACATCATGTAAAGGTACAAGATCCCAATGATGAATGTAACTGTATTGTTTATCTTAAATGTACCAAAAAACTTAAGGCCATCGCTCAAGCGCCAGGAGGTAGCCTGGGCCCCGATCCACTGCGGGAAGGGGAGCCATGCCTGCTCCTGACCCAGCCGCCATCGCTCAAGCGCCGGGAAGGTAGCCACGTCGGCACCCCTGAACCCCCATAAGACCCCCCACACACTCTCAGAACTCCTGACTGTGCCAGTCTTTGGACCTACTCTGCAGAGGCAGAGGTGGTCATCAAGGGTATTTTTCTGAGTTCCCAACTTTGAATATCTTTAAAGAAAGGGAGTGGGAAACCTGCAATAGAACGTTGTGGAGTTCAACCATTCAGAAGGTTGGAGAACTCAATCTGGGCCTTGCAGCCCGAGGTCAGTCAGCATCATGGGGTTCAGCCATCAGCTAACTGAGACCAGGGGACTTGCATCCTCACTCTATCTGAGCCATTAAATGGTAAATACACTATATTGAAATTTTGTTCACTGCAGACATGCTCTGGACTGCTTCTTGATTTCAATTTAATTAAAATGATTTAAGGGTGATAGACTGGTGACTACCACAGATGGTCAGTGTCCAAGTTGTGCCTGATCTTAATGTGTTGCTGATTCTATCAGTTGGGATAAAGCATTGCGGATGATTTGATGAGCTGTTTCTCTGATGTTATGAAGATGAGAATGTCTGTGGGTCATTAGAGACACAGAAGCTAGGGCGCAAATATATCAGGAAGATTGAGGTAATAACCCAGAGATTAAAGCAAGGACAGTCCGACAACAAAAATAAAAATGAGAAAACACTTAAGCAAGACACAAGGACAGACTTCCAGTTCACCCATGGCAAAGAGTAGGGCAAATGAGGATGAAAAGGCCGATAGTGAACCACCAGGACACTCTGAACTCAAAGCACAAGAAGTAACACAACAGATCAATCAGGCTCTAAAAAAATTCAAAACAGAAATAATTTCCCAGATAACCATAGAGATAGTGAGCAAAATGGAAGTCGTGATTCGAGACTCTAGAGCAGAAACTGATCAAAAAATAGTTGAGCTCAGGACCATGATAGAAGCCATGAAGGCCCAGCATAAGAAAGAAATGGAAAAAATAAATGCACAATATAGGAAAGAAATGGAATCCATAAAACAGATACAAACAGATATCCAGATTAAATACTTCATAGAAAGTGTATGCAACAGAATAAAAGAATGCGAAGATAGAATCTCAGATATAGAAGATAAGATGGCAGTCAGTGACCAAGAAAAGAGAGGTCTCTTAAAAACAGTAGGAGAGCATGAGGAATCGATCCAGCAACTCCTACATGATGCAAAGAAGAATAATATAAGACTGATAGGAATCCATCAAGTAACAGGAGAAAATACAAATGACTTAAAAAAGCTGTACATAGAATTAATGACAGAAAACTTCCCAGAGGGGAAGAATTTGACCTTCAGATAAGTGAGGCATATAGGACCCCAACTAGCCACAATTAAAAAAAAAATCTACACCTACACATATAATAATCAAGATCCCAGAAACCCAACAGAAGAACAAAATACTACAAGCAGTAAGAGAAAAGAAACAAATCACATATAAAGGAAAGCCCATCAGAATCAAAGCAGACTTTTCAACACAAACCCTTGGGGCAAGGAGAGCCTGGAATGAGATATTTCAAGTACTAAAAGAGAACAACCTCCAACCTAGACTGATGTATCCTGCAAAGCTCTCTTTCAAAATGGATGGGGAAATAAGACACTTCCACGACAAAGAACACCTGAGAAACTACATGAATACCAAACCAGCACTACAAGTAATTCTAAACAAGATCCTAGAAAAAGACAATGAAGGCAACAACATCATGAGGCCCAACAGAGCAAATCAAATAGGCAAGGCAAGAAATTAAAAGGAGAAGGTGAAAAAGTAAAAACAGTCAACAGAAGGCCAATAACATGTCAATAATAACATATAACATATCAGTTATAACCAGCAATGTCAATGGCCTCAACTCACCAATCAAGAGAAACAGACGGGCAAAAGGGAATAAGAACCAAAATCCAACAATATGTTGTATACAAGAAACACACCTAGTGCAAAAAGAAGCCCATAGACTGAAAGTGAAAAGACAGAAAACAATTCTCCATGTGACAGGAGCCCAGAAAAAAACAGGGGCAGCAATCTTATTTGCAGACAAAGTAGATTTCAAACCAATAATGATTCTAGTATTTTTGATGTTGGACGGTACTGTATCATACCTCTATGAATGTAAAATATCTTGTACCTGCTTTATGATACATAGTAGGGACTGTGCTTCATCAGAGCTACATTTAATGATATTACTCTAGAATGTTCTCTTTCCAGATGATGATTAAGATGCTAATAAAAAAAAAATGGTGCCAGGTACCACAACAGCAACAGAACTTTGCTGTTTTCTAGATACTATTCTTTTCTTTGTTTCTTTTTGGTTTTTTTGTTTGTTTGTTTGTTTTAATGGAATGTGCTGAATGTCTATAATTTTGTTCAGATGACTGCAGAACCTGGAAAAGCTGTTGCTGCTATCAATGCATTACATACTGCTATGAGAATCAAGACCTATTATGTAAAGGTACAGAATCCCAATGATGAATGTAACTGCACTGTGTACCTAAGATTGTACCAATAAACCCAATAAAAAGAAAAAAAAATAACAACAACAAAAAAAAATTTAAAGGGGGAAAAAAATATCCAACCCATTCCAGGAGGTTTCCTTTTTAACTGCTTTAGTTTGAATAATATATATTACACACACACACACACACACACACACACACACACACACAATTAACATGGTAAGTGAGCTTAATTGCTTTCTTTGAGTTACATCAAACAAAAAGTACTAACTATATATTCTCTAATGTATTTCTTCAATATTATGCACATGGACTAACAGTTATACACAATGCTAGAAAAGAAGTTTTATTGCAGATCTGACACAAGCAAAGCAATGACTTCACCCATTAATGTGGAGTTAATACTGTATAGATGTATCAAAACAAATCTTGAAGGCTAATAGGCAATCTTAATTTACAAAAAATAAAAATATCAGAGCACACCCCAAACTATGCGGACTAGTCAAAATTAAAATCCATTTACAAAACTTACATAAACATGCTTTCATTTTAAATAGATTATTTATGAATCACAACCTAATGAGAGAAAAACCTAAGGACAAGATTTACATGGAAAACTCTCATTTTATCAGACAACTTCTCTTTTTCTTCAGTCATAAGTAATAAAACTCATAAGTGGCCCAATAAAATTATCTTTAAATAAATTAGTTGAGATCTATAGCAGGATTTAAAGGATACTTACTGATACCGTTCTAATACCAAACATTTGTCACTATCTTTTCTAGTTTTTCTGTAACTATAAAGTCTGATAAGAGATCTCCAGATCTCTGGATATTTTATGGACTGGTCTCAATCTCTAAATATGATCTTATAGTAGATCTCTGACTTATGAGCTAAATTCATTTATGAGGGCTGGTTATAACTCAAAGTTGTCAGCTGAAGGTTTAGGCTCCTCTACACAGCCTTCAAAGTCGCTCTCCTATATACAGGGAGATCTCAATATCCTTAGAGACACTGGCCCAGGATTTTTCAGTCCCACACAGGAAAGAATGCTGTAATGTTCCTTCCGTAACTCTGTAAGGTTTAAATCTGTATCTGAGACCATCTAGAAGCAACAGTGGCCAGCATTAGGGTTGTAACTCAAGACTTTCTTTAGTCATAAGCTAAAACTAAAATTGTGATCATAACCCAAGTTGTTGATATGTCAGGCCAGTCATAACTTGAGGGTCCACTGTATTTCTCAAAGATTTTATTAGAAAAATCCTCGCCTCAAACCTATGCCACCAAACTTAGGTCTTCCGACCTTTTCTTTTTATTATTTTATAACACCAAATTCTCTATTATTTTCAATATATTTATAAATATTCCTGAGTACCCCAAATGAAAACCAACATAGAGTATCTATAACATCTTTTCAAAGTAATCTAACTCAAAACTTCCCGCCAACCTCCTAATAGCCACTATTTTTTTTTTTTCCATTAAGTTTACTGGTACATTTTAGGCATACAGTACAGTTACATTCATCATTGGGAACTTGTACCTTTACATGATGTATCTTGGTTCTTATTTTCCCCCATTCCCTGGCCCTCCATTCAACTCTTCCATCCCTCACTATTTACAGAGACTTTGTTTCCATTTTTTCCTTTTCTCATATTTTTTCCTTTCCCTTCTTTCCTTTTCCCCACCCCTTCCACTTCCCCTACACCTTTAGACCTTTTCCTCCTGTTTCACATTATCCATTATACATTTTGATCGTTATTTACACTTTTAGTTTCTCACACCCAAGAAACTATTTGGTATTTATACATCTAAACAGCCACTAGTATTCATTTTGTACTTATTTCCACCTCTTACTGGCATATTTTCAAATGTATGTCATATAAATATTTGTATTTTACAACTAAGGAGCAGGGCTAAATTTTTTACCTCATTCTATAATTTGTAATATCTAGCATAATACATTTCCCATGGCATGCAGATAAAATATTTTACCAGTGAACATCAACTTAAGAAAAATATAAATCAATTATCTAATTCAACACACATATTACATAATGTACTGAGAATTACACTTGGAAAAATCACCTACTTCTAGAGCAAACGTTCTACAAAGACTTATGTATTTTATAAAGGTGGGATCTTACCTTCACCAGGACAGGACTGATGCAGATAGAGCTCATCACTGCTTTTAGTTTTTTGTGGAGAAAACAATGAATCATCAAAAGTTGAATTCAATGTTTCTTTGAAACTTTGCAGATTTGCTTTTTTCTTATTAGAATCTGGTGTCTTGAGAATTTTCTTTCTTACAACAGAAAATGAGTTCATTCTGTTTGATTTAGAGATGGGTGTGCTCATAACTTCTTCTCCTACTGGTAAAGAAAACTGCGAAAAACCAGGAGATACAAATTCTTTTGTTTTTGTTGCACACTGTGGAAAATGTGCAAAATTTGGACTCTGCGCATCTTTACTTGACAGGACAGATGTGGATCCACTTGTAAAATTTTCAACATGATCTCTTGATGGATTCAAAACATTTGCATCCTTTATCTTCTTACTATCTAAATATCTTCCAGATATATCATCTAGTCTATTCTTACTTGTATTTGATGTATGTTCTAATATTTCATCATCAGAATCTGGACTACAAAACCCTAAATCAAAGGTAACAGAAAATAAGTCCCTAGACCAATCAGAAGCAGATTCACCACTCTCCAGTCTTTCCTCATGTGTATCTTTCAAATCTGCACGTGAAATACAACTATTAGTATCATGAATTATTTTATCTTGGGGTTCAGAATCATCATCTAACAAAAGTTCATCAGAAATTAAGAACTGAGAGATTGGAGTCACTTCATTTAGAAGAGTTTTGTCTGATACAGACAAAGATTTGCACTGACTTTTCAATGGAGAAGGGCTTATATCATTAAGTTCTCCATTAACATCTTCGAACAATAGTAAACTCTCATTTTGATCAGTGGACAATATTGGGAAATCGTTATTATCAACATTGTGATTAGTTTTGTCAACTAAATTCCTTGAAGTATCTATGTGAATTGGAACATGACTGTTAGATAATAAATTTTCATTTTTAATATTCTTATGTATTTTATCATCCCGGTCAAATAAGTATGGCTCATTAGAAATCTTAGCAATATTTGCACTAAAGAGACAACTTTTTTCAGGAGACTGATTAATAATTTTAACTGAATCCAATTCTGAATTTTTCTGAGAATCCACAGCTGAACAGGACATCAAAGAAGTGGATTTACAGTTTTGTAAATGCTCTGTGTGGGGCAGAAAAGGCAAACTGTCCAGTTTTGTAATTTCAAATTCCAAGTCTGAGAGACTACTGAGAGGTGGAGGAGAATGAGATAAAAATCTCTCTACATTAGCTAGTACCTCTTTTGTCAGTGTGTGACAATGATGAAACTGATCATTTGTTCTAGATATGTAAAGCTCTTCATCAAATGGAATAAGTAAGGTGGATAAACCAGATTTCTCATCACTGAAACTCCCATAACCAGAATCTAAAAAACTTCCGGCAAATGAATAAATAGACTTATTTGTAAACTGGCCCTCTGTTAGTGATACATCTGGCTGATTTAAAACTTTTTTATTAACATTACATGTGGTAGCAACTCCATCTATATCTGATGACCTTTTATCATCTGGTAAGTCTACCTGAAAACTAGGCTCAACAGGAGAATTTCTGCCAGGATTTAAAAAATCTGCATCACCATTGTTTTCTTTTTTAGGTTGGTCCTTTTGCATTTCTTTAGAAGCTATTTTCATTAGAGAAACAATTTTAGTAGATTTGATGTGAGTTTGTTTATAAATTTCAGCACATGCTTCTTCAGATTCTATCACTGAGAATGAACTGGCTTGATTTATAGTCTTTTTTAATGAAGATTTCTCATGAGTAATAAAGATGTCACTGACAGGATTACTATATCCATTCCCGAGACTGCTAAACGTTGAGCTAACATCTTCCATTTGTAAATACGATTTCATTTCCAATTCATACTTGCATTCACCCTATAATCAAGCAACATGTAAAAATCACATGAAGACAAAATGAAACAAAGTGAAACAACCAATTATTTTATTTGCTCTTCTTTTTAGGGGTCCTACCTAAAAAGGATAGAGTTTGGGGAGCAAACCCAGGGCCCTGTGTGTGATAAGCAACAAAAACCCAATTCTAAAAGATTAATTTCTCTCTATTTTAAAATATTTTCTAAATATTAGTATTCAAATAATTTCCTTTTAAACTTTAAAATCAAGGAAACATAAATTATACTGTCAAATTATCAAGTTATTTTTAATTAATTTTTATCTACAGTACTTTATTCACAGACTATCATAGAATTTATGAATACATAAGAAATACTTTCTTCAATTCTAACACTTATTCTTTATATATAGTATTTAAGAAGTCAATATTCCATGTAACCATAAATAACAGCTACAATTTACTGAGTACATAATATGTACTAGTTCCTTTTCTAAGTGCCTTACACATATTGTCATTTAATTCTCACAACAATTCTATAAAGTATTATCATTATCCTATTTTATAGATGAAACTGAGGGACAAAGAGATTAAATAATTCACAAGCATACAATTAGTAAGAAATATAGTTGGAATTCCAATCCAGACATTATGGATTGCACTATCAAGTTTAGTATTTTGACTCTTTCAAGGAAAAATGGTCAAGAAACTGATCAAGAAATCAATAATTCCCTAAACTACCCCCAGAATACAAGAAATACCTAATGACCTACGTGCTAGACAATATTTCATTAAGTCCCAAAATTCAATAAGAATCCTAAATGAGCTTTACAAATAGTTCACACAAAGCATGAAGTATTAAAATTTTACTCTGATCTAATGATATTTACAGATTATATTTTTCTTCTATTCAATTAAGTCTACTTCTTTTCCTAAGACAGAAAACTGGGTCTTTGTTGAAATCACAAGGAGCTATATAAAAAGACAAAATATTTTTAGCTATAACTATGCATAATAAATACCGCAGCTTCTTATGATGTCTTCAAAATAAGAAAAGCAGAGGTTAAGAATTCCAGTGTCCTTATCATACCACAAAGAGAAGGTTACAATAAAACTCTACCTCTTCATGCCTCATCCGCTCTATCATTTGCATAACGCTAACAAAATGGTGGCATCGCTCAGAATGGTCAACTTGGTGCGTAGGAAAGGGGCGATCTTGCCATACTCTCCATTCAGTGAGAGAGAGCTGATGGATTCCGGTGGCTGGGTTTTGAATCTTGATTAATGATTTTGAAATAATAAAAATGATAAGATCAGAAACACATACTCACAGAGATTTCACAGATTAGTTTTAAAAATACTCCTAACAGGTAGATAATAAGCCTAACATAAATAATTTGAATTCCTGTCAGTAGTGCCAACTACAATTCCAGAAAAAGGAAAATAATTTCATAAAGTACAAAGATGGTCCTTTAAAATACATTTGAAAATAATTGTTCTATTAGTTATAATCTGACCATATACTTGTTTTACAGTTCCATGTTAAAAAACATGTCTGGCCTCAAAACTATCATGCTAGATTTAGATCCCAAACTACAACAAAAAGACATCATAATCTCAGTGGTCCCAAGTCGTTATGCTTGCTGCCACTCCCCACTCTCCCTGTTAGTGATTAAAATAAAAACATTCAAAATAGTTATAATCTCTATAAATCTTCTGATAGAAATCATTCCAAGGCCGGGGATTTAGCTCACAAGTGCAAGATCCCAAGTTCGATCCCCAGTACCAAAAAAAGAAAAAAGAAATCATTCCAGAGGCTGATTTTTCCAGCTCCCTCGGCATATATGCCACTCTTCTCAGCTCTCTTGACTTGTAGGAAGCTCACCAATAATTTGCTTTTTTGGCTGATGCTGGTGCTGGTGCTGGGGATGAAACCCAGGCATTCATGAATGTCGCACAAGCGCTGTACTACTGAGCTACAACTCCAGCCCCAGGTCTACAATGATTATTCGTAAAAAAATATGCAATTTAAAGTTTTAAATTTAATCTCGAAACAAAACCAGTTGTGTCAAAAAGTACATAACAACATGATTTGTTACTAAAATTAAAAAAAAAAAATCATGGCCAGGGATTTAGCTCAGTGGCTCTGCCGCCTGCCTTGCAAGTACAAGGTCCTGAGTTCAATCTCCAGTACCAAAAAAAAAAAAAAAAAAATCTCAAAACATATCAGGAAAATTGCCAAGCAAACTATGAAAGATTACAGATGTAAGATTATGCCAACTTAGAAATGTTTTCATTGCTGGGCATGGTGGCATATGCCTGTAATCGCAGGACTCAGGAGGCTCACTGTGAGTTCAAGGCCAGCCTGGGCCACAGAGTAAGTTCAACGCCAGTCTGAACCATTTATGTAGTAGAAAATAATGATGAAAAAACAAAATCTATGTAAAAATTTCTAATACAATACATAAGGAAATTAGTAATTTTTAAGTTAGATTTTAATGATTCCTTATTAAACAGATTATTTCTTCCTTTTTAAAGTAAGCTGACATTCCAATATCAAACTTCCAAAGCTATTATATAATCATTACAAAGACCATCTGAAAACATGAACCTACTGGTCCATTTTCTTCTTCTTGCAAAGATGGAAAATGAACTTGAGGCAATGTTATCTCCTTAATTTTATCACTGTTTCTTAATCTATAAAGTCTGTTCCATAATTTAAATTCTTCTTCTGATAAGAAGTAATCCTTATTTGAGTTTTTTTGTCTCATGCCTGTAATATGAAAAAAATCGAAAAGGAGTTTAAAAAATACTCAAGGCAAACACAAAATATACACTGTCAACCCAAACTCTGTAATTGTTTATGTCTGTCTATTCACCTCTGCTAAACCACTGACTCAAATCCTCAGAACTAGGATTTTGTATTTTAAACCACTTACTAATTCTACACATCTTCTAAGCTTCACCCACCTCTGAAAGTACCCCTCCATCTAGGGGCTAAGATCAGAGCCAGTTAGCTGAGCTCTCAGGTGTGGCTTCATTTGCACTCTCAATTTTGTTATCTAAGACCTGGTATGCAGCAGAGTCAAATAACTTAAAAAACGAAAACCAGAACCATGGTTGTAACAGAGCAGTACTGGAAAGGTTTTCTGAAGCCTGGAGAGATGACAAAAGTTAAGCCTAAGCTAGGTATGGTGACCCAGGCCTCTAATTCAGGCACTCAGGAGGCTGAAGCAGGACTATGGCCACCAGGACAGCCTGGGTTACATAACAAACCATATCTCAACAAACAAAGAAATGAAAACTAAAAGGGGTTATAGGCTTTAGATTTAAGAAGGTAGAGGAAAAGGAAGAACAATGGGTAGGGGGAAGGATTTGTTGTGTTTAAATATAACGATACATTTTAAACGCTGTATAAAATTGAATTCTTGGCTTCCATAACCTCTAGAAAAAAATAATCACCAAATAATAAAGAAACAGTAAAAGAAAGGAATTCTGCCCCAATACAGATGAGGGTGGAGAAAAACTTGAAAGGTTCCTGAATTAGGAATTAGGAAAGGCACAGGGAAGAAAACAGGATCAAGATGAGATATGTGCATACACCCACAGCCCATGATGAATAAATGTGTCACAAGAATATACTGATCAAAACATTTTAGCAAAATAATTATATATTATATATATTATATTATAAATATATTATATTTCCATATTTTAAAAAAGGAATTAGGAAACTTCAGTCTCAACTATTCCCAAGCACTGCATTAGAAACTTTTTTTAAAGGTATCTTTAAAAGGTTTCCTCACCTATAAAATAAGGTTTGAATCAAATCATCTCTGAGGTCCTTTTCAGATCTTATGGACCCAATAGGAAGATACTCCAGTCTTCTACCAAAAATTTTCAGCCCTCTGCGGGCAGTAGCTAAGTGTAAAGACCCTGGGTTTTGGGCAGGGGATGTGGCTCACTGGTTCTGCCACCTGCTTCACAAGCACAAGGGCCCAAGTTCAAGCCCCAGTACAAAAAAGAAAAAGAAAAAGAAAAGAAAGAAAAAGACCTTGGGTTTAATCCCCAGTACTTCCCAAAATGTAAAGAATGTACAATCTTAGCAAGAATAATCACAGACACTGGAAAAATGAGAGACTAGTAACAGAAAAGTACAGCCAGGTATGGTGATATATGCTAGTGATCCCAGCCACTCAAGAGGTTGAAGCAAAAGGACTGAGTTTGGGCATAAGCATTTTAGCCTCAAATTTTAAAAAAAAAAGGCTGAGGATGTAGCTCAGTACAAAATCCCTGGGTTCAATCTCCAGCACTATTTAAAAATGAAGAAAAGAAAAGCAGAGAGCAAGGCCAGTTTGGTGGCACACACCTATAATCCCAGGCATTCTGGAGGCTTAGACAGGCCAATCATGTTTGAGCCCAGCCTGGGCAACTCAGTGACTTAGCAAGACCCTGTCTTAACACACACAAAAAAAGACTGGGGAGCTGGGTATAGTGGTGCACACCTGTAATCCCAGCGCTTGGGAGGCTGAGGCAGGAGGATCCCCAGGAGTTCAAGGCCAGCCTGGGCTACACAGTGAGTTCAGGGTCAGCCTGAACTACAAAGGCAGAGCATTTTAAAAAACCAAAAAACAAACAAACAAACAAACAAACAAACAAAAAAGACTGGGCATTTAATACACTGCAAAGACACTGGGTTCAATCCTCAGTATCACAAACAAATGAAACAAATTCACTCATGCATCCTTCCTTCCTCTGGGTTTGAAGGCCAGCCTCAATTTTCCCTGACATGAGCTTTTTTGTTTGTTTGTTTAGGGGAGTGGGGGAGGGTATGCATGATCACACAGTACTGGGGACTGAACCCAGGGGCAGTCCATCACTGAGCTATACCCTTAGCAGTTTTGTTTTTCATTTTGACACACAGTTTCACCAAGTTGCCCAGGCTGGCTCCAAACTTTCCATCCTCCTGCTTCAGCCTCCTCAGTAGCTATGACAGGCCTGCAGCAACAAGCCCAGCTAACACAGGGGTTTCTAACAGCGTCTCCTTCCTTTTACTACAAGAATTTCTTATCCTTCCACAGACAACAACCAAAACATCTCAGAACATACACTGAGTTTTTTATATAAAATTATGACCTGCCATATAAGAATAGAGGGGAAGAAAATGTGTAAAATCCAAACTTATTTACTTACCATTCCTACAGGAAAACAGAGAAGACTTCTGCTTAACATTTCGAGAAGCTTTCTCTGGTTCATAGGTGCTGTGTGTGATGAACATCTTGTGCAGTTCTGGATTGATTCCATCAGGAACCATTCGTGGACTCCTTTGGTAAAAATGAAGGACTTGTTTGCTACCTGAAATGGCTTTATAAATACTTCTTTTGTTGCACTGACTCTGATTGTATGTCTGCAAAACCAAATACAAAATGTCAAATTACAAGGGATTTTGCTCAGTGGTTCCGCCACCTGCCTCGCAAGCACAAGGACCCGAGTTCAATCCCTGGTACCAAATAAATAAGTCAAGTTACATTTCTATCGTTTTCATTCGGTCATAAAAAGCAATTAAACCAATTCACTTAAATGCCTAGAAAACAGAAATCCTATTGTCTGAATTTAAAAAAAAAAACTGAACTGTTAGACTGATAAAAAAAATGTTTAAATCTACTGTAAAAGCTTAAAAGGATAAGCAACTATACTGCACAAAGGAAATCTGATTTTTATTTATTATTTTGCTGGCTTTTAATAAGGCTGATATTTACACATAAGTTTAAAGTAATATAAGCATACAGTTTTTGTGTTTTTATTTATTTGTTCTTGTTTATAGTACTGGGTCTTGAACACAGCGCCTCCATACTGAGCTATATCCCCAGCATTTATTTTTTTATATTGAGTCAAGATCTCACTCAATTGCTAAATTGCCCCGGCTAGGATCAAACTTATGATTCTCCTGCCTCAGTCTCACAGAATGCTGGGACTACAGGTGTATACCGCCGTGGCTGAGGCCACAGAACCAAAGTTGCTTCGAGTCCAGCTTGCGCAACTGTAACTGAGAGAAACCCTGTCCCAAAAGAAATAAAAAGCCCTGGGATACAGCTCAGTGTGAAAGCCCTGGGATCTATTGCCAGTACTGCAAAAACAGAAGGAAAGAAGAAAGAGAAGGAGGGAAGAAATCTCATACAACGGGCCAGGGATTTAGCTCAGTGGCACCATGCCTGCCTTGCAACGCAAGGTCCACAGTAGCAAAAAAAAAAAAGAAAGAAAGAAAAAGAAATCTCATACAAAATAAATTACACTTACTGTAAAACTGGACTTCGAATGCTAAAATGTTGTTAGCTGTCTTTAGCCTGTATTTCTCAAATTTTAAGTCCAATCGTGCTTCTGAAGGTTACTTACACGTTCTTCCCGCCCTTCAGCAAGGATAACAACAATCCTGCCTTGACGTTTGCGTCCAGTTCTACCCATTCGTTGTATAAGACGAATCGGGCTCTTCTGGGCATCAAAGCATATGATAAGATCAACTTCCCCAATATCCAAACCTTCCTCACCAACACAGGTAGAAACCAGGGTGTTGTAACCACCATCACGAAATTGTTTCACCACCTGAAAAAAGAAGACTTTAAAATTACTAGACGCAAACTAAGAGAATTGCAATATATTGTTCCCACTCACTGCAAAATGGTGAAATCAGATTAGAAATCAGCATTCAGGATACCACAGAATAGGAAAAAAGTCACAAGTGGCAATGTAAGCAAAAAGAGATCATGGTCAAACAGAAGAATAGTCTAATTCCTTTGTTTTAACAATGATTGGGTGCTAAAAAGGATTCATCAGTAATTTAACAGTGCCACAATCCATGAGAAAGCACTCATTTTATATATTTAGCACCACTGAAAGGGGCAGAGGGAAGGTAAGGTCTAGAGGAGTTACTCCTATTTATTATATCTTCTATCTGTCATGTATCTGAAATAAAACTGTTTCATTACACCTAGAATTCATATACCTTTCACATTGCCATTCCAGGATTCCTCTTTGATCAGTCTAATGAAACTACAATAGCACGAGAATGAATTAATGAAAAGTCAACCAGGACTGGGGATTTAGATCAGTGGTTCCGCTGCCTGCTTCACAAGCGCAAGGACCCAAGTTTGATCTCCAGTACCAAAACAAATAAAAAAAAACAAACAAAAAGAACAACCAAACATTTTGAGAAACTGTAAGCCTTATCAACTTAGTTCTGAACTGCGGTGAACCTGTTTCCCCATGCATCTCAACACCCACGGTGCAGGTTGAAGTGTGATGGAGCAGTGGTTGTGGTAACACAATAACGCAACATTAAAAGCTGACTTAAATGACAGTAATAACGAGAGCTACTTTATACAGGACACACTCTGTGCCAGGTACTAACCTTAAGTATTTCACATAGTAGCCAATACTCCAACTACACTATGAGGAACACATTACCATGGCATTTTACTGAAGAAACTGAAGCTCTGAAGACGTTAAAGCATGGTTAATTTACCTAAAGTCTCACTAATAATTGTTAGCATAATAATCTATTTACTCCACCAACCTATCTTAATCCTTAAGATAATTCTACTGTTAAAAATAACAACCTGAGAAGTAGGAAAATAAGTACAACCTTATCATATAGGTCCTCTTAGAAACCTTTCCAGTATCAAAGTCAAAGGATATCACTTCAATATGGTAAACTTCAGTAGAGGAAGAATCAATGAACAGGATTAAAAATTAAGACTACTTCATTTCCTTTTGGAATCTATAATGACATTAAGCCAAAAAAGACTGACAATATTATCTGCACATAACTTTAAAAATAAAAATAAAAGGTGTCCTAGATAAAGGTAAAAAATGGGCCACAGTTCTAGAGATATAAAAATGGAAACTGTTAAATTGAATGTAAAGGTTTAGAAACTTGCCTGGGTAAATTTATGCTTCTTGACTTGAAAATAATTTTTTAAAAAGGCATCATCAAACTCTGATTTTCATTAGTTTTGCTCTTCTAGTAATTCTTCTTTTAAGATGGAGGCAGGGGGATCTCTCACTATGTAGTCCAAGCTTGCCTTGGACTCACAACCCTCCTGAATTCTGGTAAGTCCCCCAGCTTGCACCAGCTAATCTTTTAAAATGACCTTCCTAGGCTGGGCACAGTGGCACATTCCTGTAATCTCAGCCCTCAGGAAGTTGAGATAGGAGGATCGCTGTGAGGCCAGCCTGAACTACACAGCGAGATCCTATCTCAAAAACACAACAACAACAAACCCAAAAACAAAAAACCAAAAATGACCTTCCCCTTTGCTCCAAACCTTTGAATGACTTCTTACATCCCTCAGCCATCAAAACAGAACTGACTTGGGCTGGGGATATAGCTCAGTGGTTTGGTGGCCTGCCTTGCAAGCACAAAGACCCGAGTTCAATCCCCTGTAGCAAAACAAACAAACAAACAAAAAACAGAACTGATTTACCGGGCCCAAAAGGACCTCTCTATTTCCTTCTCGACTTTATCCCCTATTTCTAAATAAGTGAGTAACTACGGAACTATTTGCATGAGAGCCCATTTCAGAATTAAACAGCTGTTATATTATGTAATTATGGGTGAGAATAGTTTTTAAAGGCTGTTATTCTGGCCTACAGTGCAGTGATAATAAACCTACGGCACGTGGGCCGCAGTGAGCACCCAGAGCTAGGCCACCCCAGCAGCTCAGCATCACATATGAGAAGTGGGTTTTAGGCTGTAGTTTGGGTACTCAGTCTCTAAAAGATTTGCCATCACTGACCTACACAAAAATATTACTGAGGGCTCGGGTGCAGCTCAGTGGTAGGACAGTCGCTTAGATATGCACAAGGCCCGAGGTTTGTTCCCCAGCACCACAAAAGAAATTAAAATAAATGAGTAAATGCTAAAGGTAATAAAATCGGTAAGCTTTGTTTTGTGCGATGATGGGGATTAAAGCCAGGGCCTTGAAGATTCCAGTCAAGTGTTCTATCACTGAGCTACATTTCTTACGATGCCTGACAAGCTGAGGAAATGATGACCACATAATAATGAAAATGGCAGAGGCTGAGCTTGTGGAGCACACCTGTAATCCCAGCACTAGAGGGGAGCAAGCAGGAGTATGAGGCCCGCCTGGGCTATGTGGTGAGTCCAAGGCCAGCCTGAATAGTATTGTCAGATCCTGTCTCCAAAAAACAAAAAGAGAGAGAGAGAGAGAAAAGAAACCGATAGGGACCAGGCTGAGTTGAGTATTGTGGGTATTTTAAATATGTACTATGGGTATCTCAAATACTGAAAATTCTTGACCCTCCAAGGCAAAAATAAATTTTATTTTTATTAATGTATAAAAACATTAAGCATACTAATAATCACTAGATTCCTGAACCCTTTACAGTACTTACTGTATGGTTTGACAGTGGATAAAGGTGTTATCTTCAAACTGAGAAAGATTCTCCACATTCTGAAGTCCGCTTAACCAGACTCTGCTGAGTGCAGTGAGGACTAGAAAAAAGGGTATGGAGGTGGGTGGCTGAGACAAGGTCTCACTATGTGGTCTATGGAAGGTCATAAACACTCTATGCAGCCGACTGCCTGCCTCAGCCTTCCAAGTAGAACTGCAGGCATGCAGCACAGGGTCCAGCTAAAACAGTATTTAAACACTGGAACTCCTTATCTACTAATATCAAGATAAAAAAAAAAAAGCTGTCACATGAATGAGACATTAAAGACATACCTAACTGTCAGCAAATGATGTGCAAAACTTATGTTTATAAAAATCTTAATGTAAAATTTCCCCTCAAAACATCACAGAGCAAGTCTTCCTTAAATTCCACCATGCCTTCTTCTGATCATGCTCTTTAAAGATTTTTAAATGATAAAAAAAGATGTTATTTATTCAGAAGAAATTATAAAAGGGACTTAAATAAAACACACATGCCAGGCATAGCGGCACACACCTGCAATCCCAGCACTTGGGAGGCTGAGACAGAAGGACTTTCACAAGTTCACGGCCAGCCTGGACCACATAGAGGGTACACTGTCTCAAATACACACACACATGCACACATACATACATACATACATACATACATTTATTATTGGCCATAAAATAAGATCTCATTTAATGTTTACACCCTATAAAGTATGTTTATAAGTAAGGAAAAATGAAGGACAAGAAATAACTTGCAAGTGGATTCTAAAGTAAGTTGTATGATGCTAAAGCAGTTCTGCTTAACCATTACACTTTACAGTACTTAAAAATAAATGTTTCAAAACCACCATAAAACATTATACTTTACTCACAAACAGAAGCTGCAAAATTGCCTAAAACACTTCATCTGGTCTTTCAAAGTATGTTTATTTTCAAGTTTACTACAAAATTATATTTTTTACTTGAGACAGGGTCTCACTATGCAGTTCAGACCAGCCTTGAACTCACTATGTAGCCCAGGCTGGCCTTGAACTCTGGTGATTCTCTTGCCTCAGCCTCCCAAGTGCTGGGATTATGGGCATGTACCACCATACCTCACTAAAATTACTTTTAAGTAGCCAATTGACCACTGAGTCAAAACAAAGAAGCATAACCACAAAGCTAATCAATTTCATTTTTATTTCATTCTAAAAATAATTACCTCCAGCTGCTCCTTCTGGGTAAAACCTTTCACACTTTTCCCTGAAGCGTGGCCAACGAAAGTCATAACTCTAATTATTGGTTTATGCTTTAAAAGCATTTCTGCAATTTCTTGAACACTATCTCGAAATGAAGAGAAGATCATAACTCTTGTCTCATCACATTTCTTTTCAGAGGAGTTTTGAGCTAAATAACAGAAAAGTATTTTAAGTATTACTTTAAAAAAAGCATTTAGTACGTACATGTACCAACCACCAAGATGACTGTAAAATGCATATACTGCAAATATATACTAATAATGTTTTTAAATAAAGCATTTAGACAAGAACTAATTCAAAACACAAATCTAAAATTATACAAGTGAACAATAATTCTTTAAAGAACATATTTTAAGACTTTTTTTTTGACTCAGTGCTGTGGATCAAACTAGAGCCTCAAAGATGCTAGACAAGCTCTCTACCACTGAGTTACACGCCTGGGACAAGACTTTTTAAAAATTACATCTTTTTTTTTAAACATTCTCTAGTAATTTTAATAATCTTGTCTCCTTATTTATTTCTCATTTGCTATCATAAAGTCCTAGGCAAATCAAGTAAGAATTACCTAAATCACGGGGAACAATCAATCCTTTAATTCAAGCATGATGTCCCCATTAACCTCCACAACAGGCAGAAACACAGAACTCTAGGACCTCCACTAATTTCATAAATGTTTCCTTTCTGCTCACTACAAGCACTATTTTCATCCAAGCCATATATCCCCAAATCTGCTAATTTTTCAAGTTCTCCAAAGATAAACTAGTCAGCTTCAAAGGGAGGCAGGAGAAGGTACTAATTAGAATGTGACTAGGCTGGGGATGTAGCTGGGGGCTAGGTTGAAGCCTCATCACTACAAATCAAAGGAATGAAAGAAATTAGGCAAAAAAGACACTGTCTTCATGGCTGAGCCATACTTACTCCCTGGGCAACCTGTGATCAAGGTGGTTATTCAATTTAAGTTTTAGTTCCTCACCTAAAATGAACTGATGATGCAAGGATATAGAAAAGGGAAAACGCTGTTAATTAATAATTGCAAGTTGTGGAGGTATTTCAGTTGTTACTGTTGTTTTTAAGGCTGGCTGGGACTCTGACAAACCTTTCTTATGATTTATAGCACATTACTACTCATCATAATGTGTGCAGAGACAACACTAAATATTTTATGTATTAACTTATTTAATCCTCACAACAACCCAAGGATTACATTAATACATACAAGGTAATACACAAAATAAGCAAGTTCACAATACACCAAGCGGTAAGCAAAAAATCAGGTCCTGAAGGAAGCAGCTCTATTAAGCAATATCATTCTAGACCAGCGATGATGAGCCTTTAGTTTTCAATAACAGCCGATGAAACACATGTGCCACAGATGTGCCACAGGTTCGCCACCACTTCTAGACAAACCTCCTTTGACTCATCACAGACCAGCCTCTGCATCTGACCGACTGCTGATGGCTAACCTGCTGGAGCTTGCCTTTCCACCTTCATTCCACTGAAGCGCCCACCAAAATCATCTGTCAGATCCATACTGCCAAATTCAACAGACACCATTATCTAGTTCATTATACCACACTTCCAAACACAGTCCACTCTTTCCTACTGAACTAGTCTCTTCCCCCAGCTTCTCTTGGACGTCACCTGGTTTCCTTCTCAAGCTCCTTACCGCTTTTCCTCCTCTAAACCCTAACTGTTGTTATTCTTTAGGATACCATTCTGGCTCCTCTTCTGTCTCCAAACTTTCTTCCTGGTGATCACATCCATTCCTAAAACTTTAAATATTTTTATGCTAATAGCTCCAAAATTTGTTCATACATATGCAAATGCATATAAATGGCCCAGACCATTCCTTCAAATTCAGATTCACTTATCCCATGCTTACTTGACATCTCTACCTAACGTCTCAAAAGCATCTTACTATGTATGCTTCCTTCATGTTTTCTTTGATAAAAATCATATACATATAAAAATAAAAATTACATACATATATCGTGTGCAACATAAGGTTTTGATATGCACACACATTGTGGAATGGTTAAATGAAGCAAATATATATATATATATTACATCACATACTTAAGTCTACATTATTCTTTGCCTCTGGGAATTCTTTCATAAAATACAACAGTCATGGAAAGAAAACCAAGTGTGGACGTGGCCTACAAACCCACCCACGTGATCTGGGTTCTGGCTGTATCTCATTTAAGCCACTTTTATCCTCCGTCAAAGTTGGTCTATTTACTGATCCATCATTACAGCAAGTACCTGAGTGCCATGGGGTCTCTGAATCTGCTATTCTCCCTGGCTGGAAGGTTCCTCCCTCTAAGGTCAAGGCTTGTCCCACGTTTGCGTCAGTTACCAGTTCAGACACCTCTCTAGAGACAGACCAACAGACCATCTCTAACCACCCCTATACATAACTCTTTTCCATGACTTGTTCTCTCCCTACTGACTCTCCTTTCCACTACCACTGATACTATATATTGTGTACATCCCCTGTCCCAGGATTTCTCATTTTCCCCTATAACACTTTATTCTTAGCATTCTTATCGTTCTCTTTGCTCCCATCCTTCCAAAATTTCTTAGAGCTTTTGAATATTCATTATCCAGAATCATTAAAAGCCCACATTTTTTCTCCATGAATGTTAGTAAAAAGTAACAACTTAAAAGTTTTAGCTTGTTCTGTAACTATTTGCTACTAAATATTACCTACCATTCCATGACTTGAAGTGTTCAACTACAACTTCTTCTAATTTCTTTAATTTTGGATGACTATAGCAAAATTTTTTATCTTTATCTCCTACAGAAAGAAAAAACAGCAAAAATTTTTCTGTATTTTTTCTTATCCAATTAAATTAATGTATATTCTTATCCTTTTCAAAATACCTGTTAAAACTTACTTTTTTATTTTTATAAATACTAAGTAGCATCTAGGTTAACAAATAAATTTTTAAAAACCTTTGAATTTTTATGAAAATTTCATCCTGCAAGAGAATCCAAAAAGAAATCAGGAACAAAGCAAAAGGGAAAAATATATGTATCTAAATTGAAGATCAGTTTTTGGTAGTTCCAAGAATTTCCACCACCAATAACTATTCATAATAACTATTACATATTTAAGTTTATAAACTTGAATATATATTAATTTCAACTCAAATAAAATCTTCAAGTATTTAACAGACCTGTTACTACAAAAATATAACTATGTGTGCAATGGAATAAAATTTCAAAATTAACCTTAAGAAAGAAAACTAATCATTCAAGGAGACTGAGGAAAGAGTATTGCCATGAGTTTGAGGTCAGCCTGGATACCTAGTGAGTTCAAGACAGCCTAGACCACACAGTGAGACCTTGTCTCAAAAAAAAAAGAAAAAGAAAACTAATATACAATTTAACTTAATTTTTATTTGTTTATGTTTCTTGAGGCAGTGTCTTGCTATGTTGCCTAGGCTGGCCTCAAACTCCTGAGCTCAAGCAACAGTCCTGCTTCAACCTCCTGAAGAGCTGGGAGTACAAGTATGCGCCACCACACCTGGTTAAAACAATATAAAACTTGAAATGAAAAATCAGACCTCTGTGGGCAGAAGTACCAGCTGCAGAAGTATTACATGTACGGGTAAACATGCACTGTAGATGATGATAGAGTTCCATGAAGTCCTCATTTCTGCAAAGTTCATTTTTTGCCCGTGTCATTCCTTCAGAAATTAAGGTTTTACAAATAAATGAACTTTATAGCAAATTTCATCAAACTTACTAGTTATTAAAATGAAATTAAATTGTAACAAGGAATGCAATTACTCAAATTTAAACATGAAAATCCACATTTACACATGTATTAATGACTTTCTTTTTCTAGTAGTTTAACAACAAAGCAACATAGCCATTAGTTACTTAATTTTTTCATGGCTTTTTAAAAATATTTTTAATTAACTCAAACTTAATATATTCAATGTCTTTAAGCAATATAATACTTGTCATTATTTTGTTAAATAATTTTACATACTTTACCTTTTGTTCCATCCATAATTCCACAAAGGAAGAAATACAGTGATCTCATTCCCATTTGCTGCAATAATTCATAACCGTGATATAAACTAATACAAATTGCAAACTCCCCCTCAATTATGCCTTGTTGTATTCCCTAGGAAAACAAGCATATGTCAAATTTAACCAAAGAAAGAAATAATACAACCTTCATACCCCACCTGTCAGGCCAAATGACTTGTAACATTTAGAAAATAATTCAAATGATCTTAACAACTTCATTGGTTCCTGACCACAATTTTATTGGTTCTACAGAATGTAAATGTTACAGTATCTTCTATGGAACATGCCATGTAGTTTCTATATGAAATCTATACTTTTATTTCATTTTTTTAATTCAATAGGAAATTTCCACTTTAAAGAAAAAAGGAGAAACATTTATCATATAGTTTCTCTTTATAGGTAAATAATTATCAATAAACATCCATGCATTATTTCAGAACTAATAAGTACCTACTATATTTTAAGCACTCAGCTGCATATATCAAATATAATGGAAATGGAAAACAAGACAGTAACTTAGTGGGAGCCTGTCTCAAAATGAAACACTGGGAAAAAAAAAAAGGAGGGGATATAGCTTAGTGCAAAGGCCCTGGATTAAATTCACAATAGTGCAGAAAGAGAGAAACACAGACAGACAGGAGCCTATCCTCATGAATAACACTGGCGAAAGGACAAGTATCTAAGCCAACTAATACCAGCATTTAACACCAAGTAAACAAGCCATTTATAAAAATTGTCCAGACTTGGGCCGGGGATTTAGCTCAGTGGTGCCACCACCTACCTCGCAAGCAAAAGGTCCCGCATTCGATCCCCATTACCAATAAATAAATAAATAAATAAATGAATAAATGAATGAATGAATGAATGTCCAGACTCAAATCAGAGGCATGCACCACTCCACCCAGCTTATCATCTGACACTGGGCACCAGAGCTGTTGAGTACATCACCTAGACAAAATCATTTCATCTTAACTAGAAGGTAGGAATTATTGTTATACCCATTTGTTAAATGAGGACAACCCAAAGGTGGTAAGTAGTATAGCTAGTATTTAAACTTGGGATATTTAGTCTAAAGAGGCCTTGTGCTTTCAACTGTTACCATGGGAGGAACATAGGAAGTACACTTTCCTTAGTCACGTCATTTTAAACGTTTCCACAATAGCAAAAAATGCCCCCAAAGGGCACCCTAATCACCTACAAGATAAAACCACCTCTCTGTAAAACAAACTCTCACCAATAAGATGAAGTTCCAACAGGTTTGAATTTACTATTTAAAATTTCAGGGCCGAGGAGTTAGATCAGGAGTTCTGCCGCTTGCCTCACAAGCTCAAGGTCCTGAGTTTGATCCCCAGTACCAAAACAAAAACAAAACTTCAACCAACCTTTTACTCACAGTAGAAATTAAAAGTTTTAAATAATATAATGAAATTTCAAAGAAAAGGCTCTATTGGTCATTCCTCAGACACTGCAGGATAAAGAATGTCTTGGGTAACTTTTAAGGTCACTCCCATGGGGTCACAACTTACATGAGGGCATCTGGCTTCCTCAATCCTGCATCTCAGCCAGGCCGGTTCTCACTGCCTCTTACAGGTTCTCTCGGGGGCTCTGTTCTTGGACACGCATTCACCCTCAGCTCAAACAATGACTCAGGGCCTTTCTGTGCTTGTGGGTATTTCTTCTGACTTTGGACCTAGCCTGATGGATATTTTTCTACCCATCTACTTTTGTTTCCTATGAAGATTAGAAATAAGAAGCTTACTGCAATGCTTCCTCCAACTTCTGATATCCAGAACAACACTAAATGTTCTGGCTCTAGTTAAATACACTTTTTCATGGCTCTTTTGACTTCATAAAATAGAAATGGACTAAAAGACCAATTCTTTCTTCAAAGTTAAAAGATAAATTTATCTTAATTCAAATCATTAAACTGTATTATTAGATTTTTTCCCTTTCATAAACTATATAAATTCTATCTACATTTTTAATTGCTAACACATAAAAAATAATTCTTTACATTTATCCTGGTTCTTGAGTAAAAATTTAATCTATCATAAAGATTTATGTTAAAATACCTACCACAATATTTGGAGATGGATTTTTCCTAAATTGATCTCTTGCCAGAATTAACTGGTATTTCGTAAGATTAGAGATATCCCTTCTCATCAAAACATTCCTGTGAATCAGAGGACTGGTAAATGCTTCCAAAATCTGCAAATATAAAAGAAATTCAGCTCAAGCTTGTTTCACAGTCCTTTCTCAAATAAAACCACTTCATTACATATTAAAATTGGAGTTATATTTTTAATAAAATTTGTCTTAAAGTGAATTTTTAAGTCAATACAGCAAAATTTAAAAATACTTAGATCTATTCCAGATAGTATTGAAGAGTATAAGAAATTGTTACATCTGCTTACAATTTAAGAACACACTGTTCATTTACACTATTTCTTAACTCAGCTCTCTGCCAAGCTACACATGCTATAATCTAAATGTTATGGAAGAGGGGCCTTGGGTTTCTTTACCGTTGCATCCTCAGAGCCTAGAGCCGAGTACAGCAGATAGGTCCTCAGTAAATATTTGCCGGATGCTGAATAAATATCTTGAGTGTATTTAATTTAATTCATTTTTTTCAACAAATACTTCTTAACCATTTATTATATATCAAGTTTATGTTCTGAATGCTGGTGATAACTGTGGTTGAGACAAATGAAGTTGCTGCTCTTAAACAATTTACATTTCAATGGGAAGAAGCAAAGAAAGGAAAAGAGATAAGCTGGGGGTGTAGCACAGTGGTACTGTGCTTGTCTAGCATGCACAAGGCCATGCCATCGATCCCCATCACTGAAAAACCAACAAAAGATGTAAACAAAGAAAGTAGGTTACTCTGATAATGAATAAGCTTAAGAATATAAAACAAAATAATGCTGTAGAAGCTAGGCATGCCTGCAATCTCAGCACTCTGGGAGACAGGAGAATCTCAAGCTCAAGCCTAGTTTGCCAACCTAGCAACACCTTGTGCCAAAAAGTAAAAAAGGAGGGGTAAGGAGGGTGGCATTTATCTCAGTGTGAAGGTCCTGGGTTCCAGCCCCCATACTAGGAAAAAAAAAATTTCGTAGAGTTTAAGTTGACACATGAACAAGGAGGTTCTGAAGACAGATTATTTCAGAAAAGGTAGGAATGACATTAATGGAACACTAAAGGAAAGAGAACTCCAGATAAAGACCCACTATAGCAATATGTAATTAATGAAGTTTCTAACTAATTTCCATTTCTTAAAATGGAGATATTTTGATACATTTTCCCTCCATTCTGGCTGTGCTAATCATACTGCCTAAATAAGTACTCTGAATATTATTAATGCAACTAAATCTAACTGTGATTATGTAAATAATTTTTATAGTTACAAATGGAATAATTTTAATAAAACAAAATACATTAGTATTTAAAAGACAATTACTGGGGCTCAAGGGTAGTCCTTGCTTAGCATGAGCAAGGCCCTGGTTCCATTACAGGAGCGGGGGGCGGGGGGGACAAAGGAGAGAAGAGAGGAGAGGAAGAGAAGAGAGACAAGACAGTAAATGCCAGAAAGACTTCATCTCTTCTATTAATGCTGTTAAAGTTTTAAAGCAAATAATTACAAAAAATCATATGCCTATTAAACTTCTTTTTAAAAAATATATATACACTGAATGATAGATGAATGTTTTACTCATCTATTCCTGTAAAAACACACTGGATGAAAACAACCAGCATTGTACTTGCTGTATCTGTGGGTAAACACTCAAGCAGGTCACTGCGTGGGCCTAGAAGTTATGATGTCACAGTAACAATGAGCACAGCTAGTGCACAGACACTGGTTTCTAAATATTTTCCATAGAAGGAACAAAGCATCCTTAGGGAAATGACTAATTCTGTCTCTGGTGCAGAAAAAAACATAAATGTATGAACTTTCAAAATACTATACGGTTCTGCTGCCTGCCTCACAAGCTCAAGGTCCTGAGTTCAATCCCTGGTACTGGTACAGGGGTAAAAAAAATACTATTATAATACCAGGAAGTTAAGGGTGTATGTTATGTGTGTGGGGCAGGTGTAAGGTACAAATCTAAAGCACTTCGGAGCTACCTTTGTTTTGAGTGGGGGCAGAGTCTCCAAGTTGCCTAGACTGGGCTGAAACTTGTGATCCTCCTGCCTCAGCCTCTCAGTATATGAGTGGGTACCACCACTGCTTGGTGGAAGCTGTTTTAAACGAGCTCATAATGGTCAAAACTGAACAACCTAGGGCCGGGGATTTAGCTCAGTGGTTCCTCCCAAGCACAAGGTCCTGAGTTCGATCCCTGGTACCAAAAAACAAACAAATAAACAAAAAAACTGAAACAACCTAAACAATAAAATTAATAGTCATAGTAATCATAGTCGCCCACAGAAAGAAATATTCACTAGTCTACACTCAAAGAGTTGAATTAATAAATCAATGGTGGAGAATAAACAACTATTCATTACAGAAGAATTCAAATTAACTACTTTAAAAGAAATGAAAGAAGAAACAACTGGGCCAAAACCATGGAAATAACTGCTGTAGATAAGAATTACTTTTACTGGGATGGGGATGTAGCCAGTGGCATAGCATCTGCCTAGCAAGCTAAGTTCAATCTTGATATAAAAAAAAAAAATTGCTTTTACTACATAAAAGCACACACAGGGCTGGGGGTGTAGCTCAGTGGCACTGCACTTGCCTTGCAAGTACAAGGTCCTGAGTTCAAATCCCAGTACCAGGGAAAAAAAAAAAGTACATAGTAAGCAAGATGTGATGAGAGAGAGGACCCTCACACCATCTCAAAGTGTATCCCTAGTGGAATTATACTGCTTTTGCAAATTTCTGTAAAATAAAACATAAACACTCATTTCATTAATGCATTATGGGGAAATCTTGTATTCCTTGGTGTCTGTAGTTCCAGATGGCTGGCAGTGACACGAAACAGCCTGAGACCATGTATCTGTACCCTTGATTCTATCTTCTTGAGCCTTTCTCCCCAACATGGCTTACCCAAGGGTTATTACAGCTAAGTCAGGGTTCATCATTCAGTAGCCAGGCATAGGGCCAGCCTAGATTTGAGGGAACTGGAAACATAAGCCACCTCCCCATGGGAGAAGTAGCACAATTGTGGACAGCCATGATGAGTTGGAAATGTATTTCCTACCACCAGACTAATATAAACTACAGAAAAACAATGTTACCTCAAATTTCTCCCAATGAAAGTGACAACTGTCTAGCAGTTTCTCAACTGCTATAATATTGACACTCAGGCCAGAGAATTCTTTTCTGTGGGGGCAGGGCTGTCCTGTCCATTGTAGGATATCTAATAGCTTCCTGGTCTCTTATACATCACATGCCAGTAGCAATTCTACACTAAATCCCCTTTAATATAAAGACTAAACTGCATGTCAAGACATTGCCAGATGTTTCCAGGTGAGAAAATCATTTGCATTTGAGATCCACTGTTGTACCAGGGATGAGAAAAGGAAACATGAAAAATATATTTCATTATAAAAAAAAGTTTGGTGACCAGGCATGGTGGTACACACCTGTAGTCCCAGCTCTCTGGAGGCTGAGGCAGGAGGATCTCCACAAGTTCAAGGTTAGCCTGGACTACATAGTGAGTTCAAGAACAGCCTGAATTACATAGCAAGACTCAAAAGAACTAAAGTCTCAAAAAAAACTAAATGGGGCTAGGGATTTAGCTCAATGGTGCCCTGCCTGCCTTGCAAGTGCAGGAACCCAAGTTCAATCCACAGTACCAAAAAAACAAAAAAAAAAAAAAACAAAACTGGTGCAATCTAGGTTCTAGGTTTGCTCATGTTGTTAAAATTCAGTGAGCTACACATAAGTTTTTATAAGCAACTTGCTGTTTTTAGGCATGTTTGGGTGTGTGTTTGTGTTTCATACTACAATTCAAAGGTTTACATGAAAAAATACAAACCCGATAAGGCTACTACTTTATTTGTTTGTGGTTTTTTTGTTTTTCTTTTGTTTTGGTTTTTTTTTTTGAGACAGGGTTTCACTATGTAGTTGAGACTGACCTGGAACTCACTGTATAGCCCAGGCTGGTCTCAAACTCATAGCAATCCTCCTACCTCAGCCTCCCAAGTGCTGGGATTACAGGTGTGTGCCACCATGCCTGGCCCTATTACTTTCTTTAGAAATGGTCTATCTTTCATACTTTTCCTTTAAATAATAAGTTTGTTAACACAAATAAAACACGGGACTCCAAAAATTTCTTTTCAAAAATTTTTTTCAACATGCTAATTATATAAAATGAAATATTACATAGTCTTACAGCCAAATCCTATTAACTGAAATAATAGTTTATCAAAATTGTAGTAAAATATGTAGTTGACTGACCTGGAACTCACTGTATAGCCCAGGCTGGTCTCAAACTCATAGCAATCCTCCTACCTCAGCCTCCCAAGTGCTGGGATTACAGGTGTGTGCCACCATGCCTGGCCCTATTACTTTCTTTAGAAATGGTCTATCTTTCATACTTTTCCTTTAAATAATAAGTTTGTTAACACAAATAAAACACGGGACTCCAAAAATTTCTTTTCAAAAATTTTTTTCAACATGCTAATTATATAAAATGAAATATTACATAGTCTTACAGCCAAATCCTATTAACTGAAATAATAGTTTATCAAAATTGTAGTAAAAATGGCTTACCTGGATATATGTCTTTTGAATGGTTGCAAGTTCTTCACCAAGGGGAACAACAATCTTTTCAACTCGCCTTTCATGGGAGTATGGCAAAATATCTGGAGAATCTTCAGAGCGAAGCTCTATCTGCCCAATTAGTAGGTTAGTGATAACCTGCTGCACAGCCTATGCAAAATCAATTAAGTATGATTATAAATTACATAAGATGCTAAATGTGTTTAGTGTAAGTTACTAACAATAGCAATAAATTTCTGAAAGAAGCACCCAAAATTCATATCATTATATATCAGAAAAAACAAAGAAAAAAGAAACTAGACAAGCCCATAATGAAAATATATCAGAAATATTTGCTCCATAGAAGGAAAGCTTTTTGAATATCTTTTCCCCCTACGATCTTTCAAGCCAAGCATCCAAGAAATAAGAATATTATAAATGTCCAGGAAGTTCCTCAAATGTATCTTGGTGGTTTCTAAATGGAGTCCCTATAAAGTACACTGGTCATAAAATCAAACTACATAAATGCTACAATGAAAAATTGATCTGGTCTTATAAAAAAATTCTTATTTTCTGAAATGTCAATAAATGCAAGAAAACACTTTACTTACCTTTATATCACTACCTGGTGTAGCACTAAGAGCCAAGATTCTAAAGTGATTTGTATATTTGACCAGTTCCCTTACAACCTTAAAAAAAGAAAATAAAACAAAACAAAACTCATTTTAATTGAATTGATGGTCTAGTGAGAACTACCATTACATATTACCATAAAAACAAATGAGACTCACACTAATGAATTTTTAGGTCAATTAGACCATAATGAATCCCTCCCACCTTCAGTAGTGGGGATCAAACCCAGAGGCACTCTAACACTGAACTAGATCCTCAGTCTTTTTTTTTTTTGTTTTGTTTTTTGAGACAGGGTCTCACTATGTAGTTGAGACTGACCTGGAACTCACTATGTAGCCCAGGCTGGTCTCAAATTCACAGTGATAATCCTGCCTCAGCCTCCTGAGTGCTGGGATTACAGGCATGCGCCACCACTCCTGGCTATCCTTTTTATACTTTGAGACAGGGTCTCGCAAAGTTGCCCAGGCTGGCCTCGAACTTGCAACCCTACCACCTCAGCCTCCCAAATACCTAGGATTACAGGCATGTACCACCGCACCTGGCCTGACTCTTGATTACTACTCAAAAAATATTATTTGTGGGTTTTTAACATAATACAGATTACATGTGAAGATATAACATTATACTTAATAGAGACTTAAGTAGAATTATTCTAATAATTCTAATAAGCACAAAGGAGTCCAAGTTCTAGGCCAGCCTGGACAACTTAGCCAGACTCTGATTCAAAATTTAAAAAAATAAAAAAGGCTGGGAATATGTTATTCATTATATATTCATATTCATATTTATTACTTTCCTAGCCCAGGGGTCATATTCAGCACCACAAAAAAAATTTGAAAACTACTGGATACAAGGGCTGGGGAGGTAATTCAGTAGTAGAGAGCTTGCCTGGCATGCGCAAGGCCCTAATTTCAAACCCCACAATTACAAACACAAAAGCAAAACAAAAAACAAAAACTGATGTGAGACAAAATATCCCAAGTGGCCACTTCTATTTTGTCTCATTGCAAGAAATGATGTCCTTAGATATCATAAAAAAAATTTTTAGAGTCATGAATGCAGCAAGGAAGACATAAAATAGATTGCTTATTGAACTGTTTTTTTCAAAAATCCTTTTTTTGTATGAAAACCGGAATTCAAAGTGTTCTTTCAGATTATGACGCAGTTCTGGAAGTTCTAAGTGGAATAATTTTATTCCTACTTGCTAGAGGTACCAATATACCTATCAAAACTGTTACACAGGAAAACTGAACCAAATACATTATTTATTTGCAAGAGGAATTTCTAAGCATTTTGTAGAAGAGGAAATGGTGTTGTGTTTTTGTAATCAGGAAGCTGAGTATTTCATGGGGCTGATGTGCCCAATGGAATTTATACCTGGAATATTGAAGTAGTATAAACTGCCAAGGCTGTTTGGTTACTTATGAAATCAATGCAGGTTTAATTGTACTCAATTAAAGCATAAAACTTACAATTAAAAAAATCATCTAATGCCCAGAATTTTGAAAATAAGGGAATTAAACATAAACTAAACCTACAAAGTTAATTCCATGAAGTCGTAATAATTGTTTTAGGGCGAGGCGCGGTGGCACATGCCTGTAATCCCAGCACTCGGGAGGCTGAGGCAGGAGGATCACTAGGAGTTCAAGACCAGCCTGGACTACACAGTGAGTTCCAGGTCAATCTCAACTACATAGTGAGACCCTGCCTCCAAAAAAACCAAAACATAATAATTGTTTTAAAATAGCCATCTGGGAGACAGATCTTTTGCAAAAGGGAAAGGAACCAAGAGATAGAGGGAGTGGGGAGGAAGGACAAGGGAAGGGGATGAAAAAAGAATGAAGATGTATTGATGTATTACGTACATGAACCAGCTCCCCTCAAGAAATGTAATTATTATATATTGCAAACATGTACTAATAAAAAATAGAACATGAAAAAAGTGGAAATTTCAATACGTATATCAATTTAACTGGGAAAAGTATAAATACATGGTAAAATACATCCGTTTCCTAGATATAGTTGGAAAGATCAACTATAACAATTCTGCTAGGATACTAAGATATAATACAATAACACTTAAAGTCTCTGAGCAAATTACAAATTCACAAACTGGCAGTAAAATTCACGTCTATATTAAATGAAACGGATTTTCCCTTCTTTTTCCCTGTTCCTCATTTCACCAGCTTCTGCAGTTTTGATGTGTGCTGATAATTCCCAAATCTGTACTACTTCCAGCTGAAAAATTATCCACAGAAATCTATGATTCTATCATCTAGTGCCTAATGGATATTTACATCTGGATTCTTCAGACACCTCCAAGTTCTACACTTCAAACAAAACTCAGTAGCTTTCCACATGCCCCCAAATCTTCCCTGACTCTTTTAACTGTCACATCGTCCCAGTTTTCCAATTAAAACCATGGTAGCCACATTTCATTTCTCCTGTCCCTCACTAGATACCCTGCCTTTAGCCTCCTCTCATCTCTTTAAATCTGAAGTATCACCCTAAACATTTTTAACAAGTCTTCTCACTTCCATCCTTTATGACATACAGTATGCATTCAAACTGTTAAGCATACAAGACCAATGCCTTCACAACGTGGTCCCTAAGGAGAATAAAAAAGGCAAAGTTCCCTTCATGTAAGGGAGAAAGAGGTTAATTACATTTAGCACAAAGATGAATGACCTCTACAATCACACCCCAACACTTCACCACTTATACTTTACCTCTCCATAATACTTAAGTGAAAGGCCCTATTAGATATGTTACTACAAATTGCCAAGGATTTAGCTCGGTGGCAACGCACCTGTCTTCCAAGTGCAAGGTCATGAGTTCAATCCCCAGTAGCAAAAAAAATAGAAAAGATATATTATATACACTGTGTCATTTAATCCTTGTAACATGGACAGGTAAGTATGATCTTACCTAGTTGCCAAGAAATGGCACTGTGTGTCCACTATCAATCGTTGGCTTATTATCTTAGTTCCCAGACTCCACCTGTATCCTACTTTAAATCAATGCCCCAACCACTAAGATCCACATCTGACTTAAAAAAACAAACAAAAAAAGACAGACATTGTTTTGAATGGACAAGAGAAAGTATTCACTATCACATCTGTTCTTAGATAATGAATATAAGGCCTTTTAGGAAGTCATCATTAACTTTCATCACTAAATAGATATGCCCCCAAACATTCTATTGAGTACACTACAAAATACCATTTAACAAAATTATTACCTGGCAATAAGCATAATTTCCAAGAGCCTTATGAGCTTCGTCAACGACTAAACACTTTATATCAGCAGCAGGACAAGCTCCTCTAGTAAGATCATTTATCATGATTTGAGGTGTAAGAAAAAGTACTCGCTTACTGAGCCATATTTCCTTTCTGGTGAAAGCCTGTGTAGAACCTGTAAATAAAAGAGACAGTCTACATTCTAACTTCAGACTTATCTGTAAAACATAAATAGTCTGGATTATTTTCAAAATGCATCCTTGTTTTGGTAACCTCCTTTAGTGGAGAGCAATTTGATAATTTATTGGAATGCTACATTTTAAATGTCTAGTGGGGCCCGAATGTCAAAGATGTCTTATCTAAGACTACAAATACATGTTCTTTAGATAATTCCTACTAAATCGTTCATGTTCATTTACCCGTAGGATGTACGCGCATAACTATTTCTAGATACTCTGACAAGCTACAGGGGTATAGTGAAGGTTGAATAAAGCAGCCCAGCGTTGGACTTGGGACAAGGAGATGACGTTTTATGGAAAAGAGCATATTTGGATGTGAGAGCAATATTCCACACAGGTCAGAAATCTCTCAGCACTATTTCCACCAAAAGGGACCCCCTCCTCTGCCCCGGGAATCCCGCTGTTTCGTATTAACCCTTTCTGCTCAGATACCTGTCATTTCGGCCATGTGGGTCTGCGTGATACCCATGACCTGGTAGCAAGCCTCGATCTGCTGTGTCACCAAGGGTTTCGTAGGAGCCATGAAAACCACCTTGCCGGAAGGGAACCAGCGGTAGAAATTGTACATGACGACCGCGGCAATAAAGGTCTTCCCCAGCCCGGTGGGCAGACACACCAACGTGTTGCAGAACAGAGCGGTCCGGGAGATGTGCAGCTGGTAGTCTCGCACCGGGCAGTTGGTAGGGTAAATCCACAGGGCGCCCGCGGAGGTGCAGAACCCGCCATTCTCCAGCCTCTGCTGCCGCTGCTCAGCCTCAAACACCGCGACCAGCAGGACGTCGTCGTCGGACTCGGGCTGGGCCTCCGCCTCTCCGGTCAAACACGGCTTCGAGCTGCCGGGGCCCTGGGGCCGCTCGGCTCTGGAGCAGCCACCCGGAGCCCCGGCGGTTCGAGAAACGCTCGAGCCCCACGTCTGGAAAAGCGTTCTTTGCCGTCCTGTCATGAGGCCGACCACCAAAGTCTTCGCTCGAGCCCTGACAGCCGCAGCAGCTCAAGAGCAGCCAGGATTCCGAGCCCCATCGGTTTTCTAGCACAAAAGGGTGGAATGAGAGGGCGGGTCTGCAACTAGCCATCCACTTAAAAATGCCGCCGCTGAGTCCGCGTTGGAGAGATGATTGGCTGGCTTCCCGGAAGCTTCCGCGGCTTCCTGGAACGCGTGCGCTTTGCCCGGTGTTACTCTAAATGCGGTCCCCTATGCAACTTTCTGTGGTGCTTTGTTTTAAGGACTCCAGATTTGAATTCTATTTCCAATGATTAGGTGTCTGGGCGTCACTGCTGTGATGTGGCTTACAATAATAAAATAAGTAACCGTGAGACCTAGAGCACAATAAAATACCCATAATTTCATGAATTTAACGTTACTGAGAATTTCCGTTGGATGAAATAAAAAACCAAAAATATGTGGATAGAATAATTAGGCAAAACAAGGTCTCTTGCTGTGTCAGAAGTAGCAACACATTGTTTTAATATTGTTATTATTTCAAGTGATGTAAATGCGACCTGGTCTTATTAGAAAATTTAGCTAGGGAAAAAGAAAGCATCATGATGTTCCGCCATTACATTTTTATTATATCTTAGAGCAGTTAAGAGTAGGTGTGCAATTATTCTACGTTACTCATGGCTTTCTATCTCAGACCCAGGTACAGTTAGTTCCTGGCTTCTCCATTCAGCTTGATGACTTCCGGCAATCTGTAAATTCGTTTTCTGAGGAAAAGTACAAACAGGTCTTTTAGCAGCCATAAGCAATAATGCCAGCCCCATCATCAGAAATTGCCATTCGAAGTGCAACTTCTTTACATTGTTTTATTTGTTCAAGTTCCTGAACTTATTTTTAGACAAACTTATCCTGTTCCATTGGGGAACGAGGGAGTGCGGTCCATTTGACTGGGATTTAAAAGAGAAACAGAGACGGTACCCTTCTACAATCCCAGCACTCCAGAATGCAGAGGCAGGAAAGTCCCGAGTCTAGTCTCGCCTGCAGAATTTGGCGACTTTCGACACCCTGTCTCAAAATTAAAAGGACAACAAGGTTAGTTATATCCGGTCAGTGCAAAAGCCTGGTTCAAACTTGAGTACTGCAGAAGGTAAAGGGGAGGTAGCAGAATATGGATTGTTTGATGGACAAGAACTGAACCAATTCAGTTGTGACTCTTTTAGATAAAACTAGATAAAATGACGATAAGAATCTGAACGCTGTTTCCATTGCAAAGGTTATGGACTGGACCTTAATGGCACGGAGGCCGCTCACGAGGATACTAGCTAATAGTGGTGCTGGACCTGCAGCCAATTCCACAGAGAGGCGACTCAACAAAGCCGGCCTAATAGCACAGCTTTGACGTCACTTAAATCCAGGCTCCAATCCCGCCGGGCCGCGCGGTGACCCCGCCCCTGGGGCGGGGCGACGCCGACCTGAGGCGGGCAGGTTTAGTATAGCGGAGGGCCGCTCACGAGGATACTAGCTAATAGTGGTGCTGGACCTGCAGCCAATTCCACAGAGAGGCGACTCAACAAAGCCGGCCTAATAGCACAGCTTTGACGTCACTTAAATCCAGGCTCCAATCCCGCCGGGCCGCGCGGTGACCCCGCCCCTGGGGCGGGGCGACGCCGACCTGAGGCGGGCAGGTTTAGTATAGCGGAGAGGAG